CAACAAAATCCCCTACCCCCCAAGAATGGACTCAAGATGTGCAATTCTATGTGAAGTTTTACTTGCAATCTTGCTTCCTCCTCTTGGTGTTTGCCTTCGCCATGGTTGCTGCACTGTAAGATCTCCCTTTTCTCTTCTATTTTTCCAAAAAATTGAAAAAAGTTTCAATTTTTTTTTCCATTTTCTTACAAACTTTGATTTGGATGATTGTTTTATAGGATGAACTGAAAAGGGTATTTGTGATTTGGTCAATTGTTTTAGGGGATTTTTTTTTTTTTTTTTTTTTGTAATTTTACCTAAAATATGTAAAAAGATTCAATTTTTTTGTAATTTTTTTTAAAACTTTGATTTGGGTGATTGCTTTTAGGGATGAACTGAAAAGGGTGTTTGAGAAATGAGTCAATTTTTTAGGGAATTAAGTGAAGTGAATTTTTTTATTTTATTTTTTGTAGTTAAATCCAAAATATGTTAAAAGATTCAATTTTTTTTTGTAATTTTTTTTTAAAACTTTGATTTGGGTAATTGATTTAGGGGATGAACTGAAAAGGGTATTTGAGAAATGTTTAGTGATTTTTTTTTATTGTTGTAAATTTTTGCAGGTGGAGTTCTTGATTTGCTTGGTGTTGACCATATTGGGCTATGTTCCTGGAATTATCTATGCTCTCTATGCTATCCTTTGTGTTGACCGTGAACCACCATATGATCATTATCGCGATCTTGCTTAAAATATTACTATAATTGTTAATCTTTTTCATTTGCCTTATTGAATACACCATTTCATATTGTGTCGTCGTCTTGTTTCAGCTTGTATTTTACTTCTGTGCTTGTAATTTAGACTTCAACTTTGGATGAATTATACCCTATGTCACTTGTTCTGAATCAACTGTTGCAGTTTAAATTTATGGATTGGTCCCCTTATTGCAATTTCCTTCCCGAGCCGAGGTCTATCGGAAACAGCCTCTCTACCTCCCAGGCAGGGGTAAGGTTTGCGTACAGCCCATACTTATGGGTCTCCACTGATTTGTTGTTGTTGTTGTTGATGATGATGATCCCTTTATTGCCTTTTGTTTTGAGGTGTCTTTGATTTCTCATTGTTTTGATTGGATCTTATTAGTGTCAATCTGATGGAATTAGGGTTACATAAAAGATTCTATTTTGGTGTGGAGATAGATCAATGTTCTATTTATATAAGCTCCTAATTATAGTAATTGATCTATTTAGCTATTTGCTTTCTGATTTAGTAGTACAGTATTTCAAGATTAACTTGGTGGTGTTGCCTAAAACTGTGAATTATGGGCAGAAGTAGGGTATATATATGTGTATGTAGTTATATAACCTAATTTTTTGCCTAGGCCATTTTCTTTGTTATCTCGGTTCTATCGGAAACAACATCTCTGTCCTTCTACTGGGCTTGCTATTGTTGTTGTTGTTGTAACCTAGTAAACTTTTGTTTCTTGCCCGCTCCTTAAGTATATGCTCGTTCTTTGAGGAGCGCAATAACATGCAATTTAAGGTCGTGTGTTGAGGAGCATAAGTTTAAAGATTTAGCTTTTCTTTTTAGAGGAGTTTTGCGTTAGGTTGGTGCATTAAGGAGCGTTGTAACTTACAGTTTAGGCTCATCTGTCGAGAAGCGTCATAGATTTTACTTATCACATTGTCTATCAACGTTGTATCATGAATTCTTGATATCTTCGTATAAGTATTTTACCGATTTTGACTTCTCTTAGTAGTGATGCACCAAATGAACCTTAAGTGATGGAGACTTGGCCCGTTTGGCCATAATTTTCTTTTTTTACTTTTTTTCAGAATCAAATGTTTGTCCATGAAAATTTCACTTGAAGTTGAATTTCGGAATTTTTCGAAAATTTGAAAAATTTTAAAAAATTATTTTCCAAAATTTTCACTTCAAACCACTCGCAAAGATTTAAAAACAGTTCTAAAATTACTTTTTTTCAGAATCAGTATCTGTCTATGAAAATTTCAAATTTCACTTGAAGTTGAATTTTGGATTTTTTCGAAAATTTAAAAAATTCCAAAAAATTATTTTTCAAAATTTTCACTTTAAACCACTCACAAAAATTCAAAACAGTTTCAAATTATATTTCTGTCCAAACACGATTCAAATTTTCATATATTATTTTCACTTTAAAAAGAATTTCACTTTTTTATCTAGAATTTTACAATTCCTTTGTCCAAACGCCCACTAGTTTACACTTGCTTTTACTTCTTTCAGCACCATCTTTCCTATTGGGCCAAGTCCATAACTTTTGGGGGAAAAAACATAATTAGGCAATATTTAAGAAGACATTACAAAACCATAGCAATAATTATTGATTGTCATTTCTGGCAATTAAATATTAATATGTTGTAGTAGCTTCCAACAGCGGAACCTTTTCTTTGCCGAGATTCATGCTTATATCAGTCCTTAATTGCTTGTATCTTCGATCATTATTAGTTTGTTATATTTTCTTTTATAAACTAATATTTTACTTTTTATTGTAGTAATCTAATATCACCGGTACATCACTAATTTATAAGCAGTGGAAGATAGAGATTTAGGGCCCACTTTATGATATATAAAAATAGGATTAAGAAATATGTAGTATCAATCTGATAGGTATAATAATGATTTATTTTATTTGAACTATTTTTTCCAAATGAAACTATCAATGTTTCATTGATATTTGAACTATTTTGCTTTACAAAATATTGACTTCTCTTAGTAGTGATGCACCTCAGAAGTCTTTGTTTTCACATTGTTAGATGGACTCAAGACCGAATGAACCCATTGTTAGGCCAAACTTTTAAAAGAAAAAGATATTTTTGAGTAGAAGCAGAAAAAAATAACTTTCCCCTAGAAACACTTTTTGGAAAATACTTTTGAGAAAAATATAGTTAAAAATATTTTGTAAAAACTTGGCCAAATACTAATTGCTGCTAAGAAGTGTTATTCAAATTAATTAGTCAAACACAAATTTCTTCTCATCAAAAGTACTTTTCAAAAGGGATTTTTTCCTTTCTATACAATATTTGAAACTTATTTACTAAAATTGTCCATAATTAGTATATTATCCACCCTAAACAAGTTTTTCTTAGCATTTATATACAATCCATTATTAGTGTCTTAAATTAGGGAATTTAGTTACACTATTTTCCTTTTTTTTTTTCCTCTCCTCCCCTCAATTTCCCTATTCTCTGCTATCTCTCTCCACCCAAAATTCCCTATTCATGATTGATCTCGCTAAATCGTTGAAAAGGAAAAGCAACAGTATGTAGGCAAATACTTTTCTCTTTATTTCTTTCTTATTAGTTAACTAGTGCCTACAAACAGATGAAATCACTGGTGTCAAGATTCTATCTTTGTCCCTCATCATTCAACATATTTTTTTTTTTGTTTCTTATATATGTTTCAAATAACACAAAAGGTACAATTTTTCTAAGAATGGGAAGGACTCAACAATAGCCATGTACCCAACCAGAATTACAGTAGATATCTATTACCATTTCTTCTTCTCCTTTTGACACAATTTTTCCGGCTTTATGCATTTTCATAGGTTACATGATTTTTTACTTCAATCTTCAAACCTGAAGTTCACCTAGCATTTCTAAATTACATGTGCATCATATACATTCAGCTCAAGGCGACGAAAGGGCTCTGAATATCAGCTCGAGACATTATAAGGAGTTTGAAATGCTAGATGAAAAAAAAAATCAGACAAATAACTTAGTGCAAAAAAAAGTGAATGGCGAATATCGCAAACAGGACATATATAACAATGATCTCGAGATTAGTTGGAGTTGAAGCGTAAGTAGAACAGAGAGAAGATAAATTTGTAATATAACAACATACAAATTAAAAAAGAAATTTCGTACAAATTTGATACATCTACAACATCATATAAACTGAAAATAAATTTTATACAACTAATTATATAATATACAACTTATTTATAACTTATCTACAACTTGCATACATACTAAAAATAAATTTCACACAACTAATTATACATCATACACTTATTTACAACTAATCTACAACTTTTATACATTATTTTTATTTGTTAAAATACATCTACAACATCATACAACTTAAATACAATTTTCATACAAATTTTATACAATATGTCTTTTGTATATTTTGTATCTGATTTATACATAGTAAAAATAAATTTCATACAACTAATTATATATTATACAACTTATCTACAAATTATCTACAACGTATCTACAACTTTCATATATTATTTCTTCCCAGTTATATACAACTACAATATCATACAACTTAAATACAATTTTTATACAATATTGTTCAACTTCCATACAATACTTAAATAAAAAATATATATATAAATAACAGAATACAATTTTTCTACAATTTTACTACAACTTTACTATAATTTCTACAGTATAATGTATGTCATGTCTTCTTCTTCTTCTTCGAGTTTCAATCTAAAATTCAGCCAAAATTAGGTCTATCTTCACCAAAACACCCTCAAAATTGAGATATAAACTTCAACCCATATTCCCAATTGTTTGCAACAACACTCAATCCAAACAAGTAATGATTTTTGAAAACCCAAATTCGAATTCAAAGTTTCAAAGATTTTAATGGTTGCCAATGGTGGAATTGCTGCTCTCTTTTCCTTTGCTTTACATTATTGAAATTAGGGATTGAGAAATAGAGAGAGACGTAGAGAGAATCTCCAATTGTTTGCAACAACACCCAATTCAAATAAGTAATATTTTTTGAAAATCCAAATTCGAATTCAAAGCTTCAAAGCTTTTTAATGACTATCAATAGTGGAACTGATGTTCTCTTGTGCAAGATACGTTGGGGAGGGGGGTGGGATGTGGAGAGAGAAACTAGGGGGGGGGGGGGAGGAGTGAGATAGAGAGAGAGAGAAACGGTAGGGGGAGGGTGGAGGTGAGTTAGTTAGGAAAGTTAG